GGCTTCCAGCCCGTCTTTAGGTTTTGTTTTCCCCGTTAGCTCCAAGACAAGTGGGTGAACTGTGACATGCACACTCTTGATATCTTGTAGTCTGAGGCCCCGCCGTTGCAGCTCACCATGTAGCCAAACACAGCCATCAATGACCGGGTGTATGACAATACCACACGGGAACGGCTTAAAGGCACTCTTCGCAAGTTCCCACTTTCCGTCGGATTCCAGGCTGTCAATCTCCTGTGTTAACTTGTCGTCATTACTAACGACCTTCACCCAGCCCCGCTTGGCCTCCAGAGCCTGCAAAGAACTGGTATATCCATCTGCAGCAAGAATAGCCGCTAGAAGGCCATTTTGGGCTGCGCGCCCAGGGTGAAAGGACTTGGTGTGCGAGCCAAACATCTCACGAAGACCAGTCACCTGGGTGGCGGCGATACCGATGGCATGAGCCGTCTTCTCCGGACTCAGGCCGAGGAGGCGAGACACCGCCACTGCTGCCCCAATAGAACCAGCAGTACTAGTGATGTGCCTAAAGAACAGTGTCAGTCCATCATACCGCGCTGTTTTGGGTGAGGGGTCCGGGAGGGCAAGAAGCCTAGCAGACATACCAGCCCACATCATAGTGGCTCGGCCAGACAGCCAGACCAGCCTTGCATTCTAATTCTATCCCGGCGGCGAGAGCCGCGAGGAAATCCTGTCCAGATACTGGCCGATCTAGTGACTGCGCAAAGCTTAGAAGAGCTGCCGCAACAGGCCCGGTAGGGTGTATGATGGTCTCCAAGTGCGTGTCATCATAATCGTGGACGTGCGATGCAATTCCATTGATCAACGCAGCATGCTGCGCATCAGCTTGAAGCCCATTAGTACCTAACAATGTTGAAGTTGGAGACCCGAAAAAGCGGGACAAAGAGTTCCGGGCGATCGAAGCAGCGGGGTGATTGCTGCCCCCGATAGTGCAGCCGACCCAGTTGTAGAAGCTCCGGATGGCCGCTTGGAGGGCGTCCGGAGGTAGCGAAGAATACGTTAGGGACGCTGCCCACTGAGCAGCTTTCTGTGTAGCCATTGTTTGCTTTGGAAGTTGCAAATTTGGAAAAATGATTTCGTAGAGAAAATAAAATATCGGAAAAGGGAAAAGGGACAAGGGAAAAAAGAGGGAGGTGGATGAGGGGAGATATTTTCCAGTTCTGGTATTCTCGACCGATGCCGCGTTTCCTCTCGGTTGAGTGGAATCTTAGTATATATCCATAGTATCTATATAGCCAAACTGACGCCCCATGAGATACCACTGGGATGTTGTCATTCTTTCCCCCAAATCTCCTTGCACTCCAACTAGACCTCGAATCTTGAGCTTGATTCACATTAAGAAGAAGTAAATATAAAATAAAATACTAATTGGCTCCGCCTCAAGCCTTTCAGCTTCCCAAATGTATCTCCCTTGGGGATTTTATATATACAAACACCCTCACGTTGAAGGACTCATTTACGGGTAGACTTCTCTTGCATCTCCCGCATCGCAGCTCTGGCACTTCTACTGCCTCCCAATTTAGGCCCGCGTGGAGCATCAGGCTTGGTTGTCTTCGTATTCCTTGCTCGCGCAACACGACGCCGGGATTGAATGGCATCGAGAAAGTCCCTTCTGAACTGCTCTGCCACCCTATCATCGGCCGCTTGCCCATCCTCACCCACTGCTTCGTCACCTTCCTCTTCTGGTCCCTCATAGACATCCACTAATTATTGACATCTACGTCAGCGCAAAAGGCTCGGAAAGAAAATCGAAGAATAATATGGTCCGTGGACAATTTCGAAGACCGTAAGGAAGACTCACATTTACTTTCCCGTAACACTTCTTCCACTAGTCGATCTCGTTCGATGTCTTCACTAGTCCGTCGTTTCCGATTGCGCCACGTTTTCTGGTCCCCATTCGCTGGGGCCATCTTAGGCCCGGGGCTCTGCTCGGTGGGAGGCGTTTGACCGCCGTCTCCGGCGAGTCTCTTCGTCGCTGCCTCTGTGCGGGCGATATTCTGCAACGTAGTCTCGTGACCCAGATCGATTTCGTGCAGTTTCCCCAGAGACGCTGGTTCGCGTTGTGGAAGGTCAGCAGAAGACAGAGCAGCAGCCTTCGGTTCAGTTGCCGAAGGTGTATCATGCATCGCGATCTCGGTCGGCATATCGCGCCGGTATCGCTTAGCCATTTCAGACTCTATAAAATCCATCCTTATCTTGTTAGACGCCATTGCAGCTGGAGCGCATGCGAAGCACGGAAACAGAGACGGGGAGCCGTACATATGCTTGTCAACGTCAACCGTTTGGCCAGTATGGGCCGTAAATCGATCGCACATTGCTCGCAATCTTTCATTTTCTTGGTCCTCCTCCGCCACAGTTGAAACGGCAGTTTGGCTATTCTTACCGGCCGGTGGCCGCGAGGTGGCGGAGAATTCTATGCCACCCTTTCGAGCTCGCTGAAGCCGTCGCGAACGAAGAATATCGGCTGTTGGGACGGAATTCGGCGAGGGTTCCTGCCAGGACGAAGGTGTAGATGATTCTGAAACACGAGCGACATCTTCTGTCGCAGATGGAGATTCCTCGTCGTTGTCCTCTGGCCGGCGTCGCTGAAACTTCCGCCTCTTGCCCGGCCGGAAGAGGGAAGCTGGGTCAATCTCTGGCTCCATGTAGTCCCTGAAGTCCCGGAGACAGAAATTCCCACTCGGCAATGAGAGAGAGAAGATATACGGAAAAAATGCTTGAAAGTTATTGTGCAGTGAAACAAGCAGATAAGACGGAGGCGATGGCGGTAGATAGCGAACAGTCGGTAGTAGTAGATAGTAGAGTCCGGCGCGCTCTTCCCGCCGCGCCGCGATTATTCATTCATCAGCCATCTCAGTGAACCAACTAGTAATAGGTTAACCGTGCCTCCTCCACTATCAATCAATCATCTACTCTAGTCGCCTCTTTCTCTACCTCTACCTTTGCCAACTGCCCCGCTGCAACCGTTGGCTTCAAGCTTTAGATCGCTCGTCACCGAACCGGACTATTCTTTTCCTCCCACATCGGGGTCGTTGGCTTAATTCGGGCAGTGAACCATCCTAAAACCTTTCGCCTTGCTCGTTTACGCCGACCATGAATCCCTCCATCCCACCCTCGACGGCTGAATATGGCGGAGGTATGTCGATTCCTCTGTTGCGCGTAGCTGAGACACATTTGTTCCTCGTGCGACACTTTCTTGTCAGCATTTCTGACCCTTCAATGTCTAGATGAGGTGTCGGCGATTGTGCTCGACCCCGGCTTCTCAACGACGCGAGCTGGCTTTGCAGGGGAGGACACACCCAAATCCCTGATTCCGACATACTACGGAAAATATTCCTCAGATGGCCAGTCGAAGTTGGTCTTCGGTGATGATATCTTTGTTACGCCCCGGCCCGGTCTGTCGATTCACAACCCAATGAGTCGCGATGGAATCGTGGAGGACTGGGACATGGCAGAGAAAGTATGGGAATACGCCTTTATTTCGCGCCTGACGGGCCCAAAGCCCGGAAATCCCCTACAGAACGGATTGAACGACGTGCCGGAGGGCGAATTATCTACAGAAATGGAAGGGGTCGAAACTGAGGAGAAGCTGCTTGCTGATAGCCCGCTGCTGATGTCGGAGCCCGGCTGGAATCCCACGAAATCGCGCGAGAAGACTATCGAGCTTGCCATGGAGAAGTGGGGAACCCCGGCCTTCTATCTAGCCAGGAATGGTGTCCTTTCAGCGTAAGTACCGACCTGTCAGTCCGATGGACTAGTCGAGTCTGTACATTTCGCTAACATGCTTCCTCGCCAAAAGCTTTGCGGCCGGCAAGGCATCCGCTCTTGTGATTGACATCGGCGCTTCTAACATTTCCGTAACCCCGGTTCACGACGGCATGATACTGAAGCGAGGAGTGCAGCACTCACCTCTCGGCGGTGATTATATCTCATCTCAGATCCGCGCTCTCTTCAAGTCGAACGCCCCGCAGCCGATAACCATCACTCCTCATTACCTGATCTCGTCCAAGACAGCAGTCGATGCCGGCCAACCCCCGCAAGCTAAATACAAGACTTTCCCCCCCGACAGAGCTCCTGACGCATCTTACAGAACCCTTCTCGAGGAGCGAACACTGTCCGAGTTCAAGGAATGTGTCGTCCAGGTCTGGCCTGGCCCCAACAAGCTCTCCGCCACAGGTCCCAACGGTGTCTCGAACGAAGAACTGGCCAAGAGCAGTCCCGGCCGGCCCTTCGAGTTCCCCGACGGCTATAACCAAGTCTTTGGAGTGGATCGCTATAAGGTCGTCGAATCCCTGTTCGACGCCAAAGCTGCAATCCCGGACCCTGAATCGGCATTCCCCGCACCGACGCCGGCACAAACTGTGCCAGAGCTCATCAAGAATGCGCTGAACGGCGTCGACGTCGACATCCGCCCGCACTTGTTGGCTAACGTTGTCGTCACGGGCGCCTCCAGCTTACTCTATGGTTTCACCGACCGTTTGAACCAGGAGCTCATGCAGATGTTCCCAGGTCCACGCGTTCGTATATCGGCCCCAGGAAACACCGCAGAGCGGAAGTTTGGCTCTTGGATTGGTGGAAGTATCCTCGCCAGTCTGGGTACCTTCCATCAGATGTGGATCTCCAAGAAGGAGTTTGACGAACATGGTCCGAATATCGTCGAGAAGCGCTGCAAGTAGGAGATTGTCTTTGTGATTCGTTAATCGTCTTTCTTACGTCCTTCGCACCTCCCCCTCCTTCCGTCCGCCTTCTCTCTTAAAACTATGTTTTCTTTTTACCTTCTTTTTTTTACTGCCCGTATTCATTTTCTGGACACCTTCGTGTGCTATTCATGACTACAGCAGAGGAGAACGGAGGCATCCGTTAATACGATTTAATTCCGGTGTGAACTTTGAGACACAAATCAAATGTTTCTTCTTTATATTGTTTATTAGTTACAGCTAAAGGTAACGCCCCGTGCGTCTTGCGCGCGTAAGCCAGCAGACTAGAATTTCTATGGCCGAAAAGCTGCTGAGGTACTCAAGGTTCTGACACGGGAGAGTCACCTAACTACAATGTGAACACGAACATATGTATCCGCATATACAACAGAGGATAGATAGACACATACTCCAGTCTGTCCTGTTGTCGTTGGATCGATATGCACTGCCGTTTCGTTCTGGTTGCGTGACTTAAAAGGCCGAAACTAGAATTCGTCGTACGGAGAATAGTATCCGCATTCGGGGTATTACAGAATAATTTCAAACTCGAAAGGCACAAGGACTTGCAGCTTGCCTTGTTTCATCGCGCGAACGGATCAGTTGCCAAAGTCACAGTGCGTGGGAATCTTCAGGCCTGGTGACACCGAGCTTGGACTTTCTGATGGCATTCCTGGCAGGCTTGAAGCCGCATGAGAATACCTTGTCAAGAATCTTATCAGGTGAAGACTTTGGCAGGCTCAGAGTGATGTTCGAGGTTGTATGCAGGATAGAGCGCATGAGGATGAACCTCTTCCGTATTCACCGGCGCAGCTGGTATGGAAGGAAGAGCTGTTATCACCGATTGTGTCTCCCCTGCTGTGTCATCGAGCTCCGCATCAGTGTCTTGGTTTTCTACTTCGTTATCATCCTGCGCAAGGCTGAACTGGACCGAAAGGACATGGATCCTGGGTCCGACATCCCTTTTTGGCTTTAAGAAATAAGTGTTCATTGCACCAAGATCCTGGTGGAGCCATGCCATGTCATTGTTCAGATCAGATCCGACCATGTCGGATTTTATCTGTAGACAGCCATCATCATTGATGGACGACTCTGCACAAAACTCGCTCCAAGGGCCGGCCTTCTTGGCCTGGGAGGAATTCTCGGCATTGTTTCTCTCTTTCTGCGTTTCATGTTCCCAAGCGTCGACCACTTTGTCGGATTTGAAATACTGCAGTAATTGGTTTCTCATCGTTTCTCGTCTCGCAGAGGGTTGAGGAGCAACTGGGCGTTCCGTTTGAGCAGGCACCAGCGAAGTATGGGCCTTCTGACTTGGTTCCCTTTTGCTTTTGTGCAGGGACTTCAGTGGTTCCAAATAAATACTTCGAGCTTTCGATTCCCTGGACGGTGCAGTGGAAGGGCGCACTGGTAGTGGTTCAGGATGTTCGCTAGTAAGTTCCTTTGTTCTGAGCTTGGACCTGGAGAGACGGCGAAGTTTAAGCACAAAGCCTTCCGAGTCTAAGCCGTCAGCAGTACCGTTGACAGACTTGGCTCGGTCGGGTAGCTTCGTGTGCGCATTACGCTCGTCATTCTCCCTGGCCGCCCTGAGATTCGGAACACTTTTCTGCGTGAGCCTATTACGGTCAGTCGACCGGTAGAAGGTCGCCGTTGCCGGACAGTCTGGGGCACGGGGAAGAGGTTTGTTCGGAGTCGAGGCCGGTGCGCTAACGAATGAGCCTCTTTCCATAAATCGTTGCCGTAGTGATTTCTTTCGTGACAATCCATTGGTACTTCGCATGTAGGACACCTGTCGAAGTCTCAGCCCTGGCACGCAATTATGGGGTTGACGGTCCCCTGGTAACTTACAACAGCTTTTCGACTTGCCACTCCCACACGTCGCTGCAGTTCCGTTGTGGCTAGGCCAAGCTGAAGAAGGGCCGATTGCAGGGCGACGCCCTTCCGACGAAGATTCGAAAGTGCTATGTTCCAGCCCTCCGCGTTCGCGAGCATAGCGTGGTAGACAGCCAGTAGTCGAACAGGCAACGGACTATGCTTTTCAGCTGACTGTTGAAGATATGTCCACAGCGCACCAACCGCCTCCCGACCTTTCTGGATGTCTTTGAGGGAATCCTCAATCGCAGTTGCGAATCGATCGACGGCGTGTTCGATCCTGTCATTATATTCGATCATAGAGCCACGGAAACTGCGCTCCTCCAGCATCTCATCGAAAATCATTAGATTCTCAAGAGGTAGGCTGAGATACTTACTCCGCGTGCGCACGTCAATCTGGATGATAAGAAAATCTTCCGAGGTCCTCTTGAGGAATCCATCCATCTCGTCTACATGAACCTGAAGGATTTTCAAGACCTCCACGTCCGACTTGGCGAGTTTTTCAACTAGTAGGTGAACCCCAAAGGACATCTGGGCGATGAGTTTCCAGAGAGGGTGATATCTACAGGCGGTCAGTTTGCAATGTTGCTGAGCAAGTCCAAGGGACCGGAGCTCGACCGAGTGCTTGCCTTTCATCGGCCCTCTGGCGCCATTTCCTGCCACAAAGCCGTTCATACTTGGGGCTTTCGAGGAGGTTCTTGCGCCTAGATTGAGCATCAAAATCGGCTACCCATCTACCTTTCCCAATGCCAGTGGCTTCCTGTATTGATTCCTCGAAGGGTCCTTGGAGCTGAGAGATTGGGTGCCTTGAGAACTGGCCTGCTCGCCGTTCCTTGGCTAGTTTGATCCCTTCGCCTGGTCGGGCATCGGCAGGGACTGCCAACCGTCCTTCCCTCTCCGCTGGAGACGCCATAAATGGGTGTAAAGACTGGAGTTCAGTGCCCGTGGCCTCTTGGTCTAGTTGCATACACACGCGCGCGCACATACACACACTCTCTCTCCGTCTTTCGTATTTTAAAAGCAACTCGTAAGTGATAGGCTGTCGTGATATTGCTCGCTCTGCGCAACAACAGCATTATACAGGTAACTACCTCCTCGCGATCAAGCTGCATGCGGCCGAATCCTCAGCGGGATGTTTAGACGTGATGAAGGGGTTGCTCATAGTAGCATCCTTGCAGTAATTGGCAGTGATTGATTTTATCGGGTTGAGCAAAAAGCGCATACAAGAAACAAGAATACTTCACAGTTGTAGCGAAGGCATACGATGGGAGTCCGCAGGCCCCCGTGTACACGTTGCTGTATATAAGCGGAAACACACACACGAACGCGCACACGTACACGTACACGCACGCCCGTGCAGACACAGAGTGGAAGGTGGGTGGGGTGAAGGTGGTCAATTGATTGATCGTTCGGTAAAAATAGAGAAGGAAAAAGTCGAGCGAGCTTCAGACGTTGATTAGATCGCACATGGGAGGCGTGACATGTGTCAAAAGAGTGGTGGGACCGCCGCAGGAACTAAATAGATAACAATATAGGCGAGGCGAGGCGAGCGAGAGAAGTGTTCAAACGATCAGTGGGAATTTGCGCCCAATCGACCCCGCCGATTTAGTTAGGGCTGAAGTTGGGTTTTCTCCAGTTTGGGGACCCAGACAGCTAGCTAGCATATACAAGGCACAGACGGAGTAGACTGTAAAAGAAGGAGGTGGCAAGCGGTTAACACCCAGTTATAGAAGAATGAAACGTAGACAAACACCAGACGGACTGGAAAGGGGGTGGAGGGGAGTTGGTTCGAAGTGGAGGTCGACAATTTAAAATTACAAGCAGCCGACAGGCAGGCCTCATGGCCTTCCGGGCCTTACGGGTCACGAAAAGAGCCAGGATTCATAGAAACGGGGCCGAGGCTACTTTGTAATTGGTATCGATCATGATTCCATTGACAATGCGGACGGTGGACACCAATGGCGGTCCTTCAGCGGCTGACGTTTAATGAGAATCGTCGGGAGATGACGATCTGATGTCGGGCGACTCCACTTGGCCGCAACACGAACCGGTCGACGTCTAGACTCCCTTGGCCTCTCCTTGATTAGCCATCTAACTAGTCTGAACCCCCTCGTCATGCCATGCTTCTGCGTACTCTGCCTGCCTTGCGGATACCTTAACCATTGGCCCTGGTCTTAGCGAAAGGATGATCTGATAACGTTGTTGGACGCTCACTCTGTGTGGGCCGGCCACTTCGTTATATTCAGTGATGAGTTACTCAAGAGCTACATGAAGTAAGCTTGGCCGAATGATGAGCCTGTCAGCTTTGGTAGCGAGCAAAGATCGGCACAAATTAGAGCCAGTTCCTTGTCGCCTGTCTTGCGAACCTGCGCGCAGACCCTGATGCCGGCCCCCGAAGATGCTGTAGCTAGGATTACGCTCACCCTCAGCATGGCCTGGAATTTCTAAGGGAGGGTCCTACTAGGTTCCGGGAGGTGGCTCTGTCATGAACAAGGGGTCCCAGAAATTGGTGGGCAAAGAGAGATCGAGGAAATCTCCAAACAACGTGTCAATATCCGTAAAGTTGTCATGATCAGGGTCCGGGGCACTGATATCTTGCGAATACAATGGCCGGGGCGGAAGTTCCTGCCCTAGCGCAGTCGAGGTCACGCCACTGCGTACGTTACTCAGAGTGCCCTGGGCGGGATCGAGAGACGAATCCGGAGGCGGGGAGAGAAACGCCCTCGGATTCTGAGTTGTGGGCGTGGCAGGACTGGCAGCCCGGCCATGTTGGTGATGTCCAAGCTCGGCCTCGTCAATTTGGTGCAACGCTTTTCGACCCAGTCGCGCCGTTGCTTCTGCAGAATACCAGAACCCGCCCAGTTCTTCGAGCAGAGTACAGCAAGCTTCCAGGCTGGTCCGGGATCGATCAAGATGCGTGATGAGCTTACTTGAGCGAAATTGTTGATATGATACACCCATAGAAAGTGCTAATGCGTATGGAACAATAGGCAAAGGCGGTAACTCATGGGAGCATTCGGTAGCAACAATGGAGTGGATTCGGATGGCAGCAAGACCTTGGCGGACATACGAAGGCCTGGACTCATCCGACCGGTGGGTAACTTTGTATCTGCATGACAGTATGGCAACTGCATGATAGTACAGCTCAAGGAAACCTTTTCTTTCGGTGATTAGCAAACAGTCCTGGAAGACAGATCATTTTCCTTTCCCTCTGAGCTATGCCGTGCCTTTTCTTCTCAGACATGGATTGATCGAAGACATACCTAGTGTAGCAAAGTCCAGGTCATCTCGCAGTTTATCGCCTGTAATGCCTTCAAATGCAGCAGGGAATTCGCCCTCCCATCCAACCGTATGATCCGATGAAGGTCGATAAAGCGAGATCACGGTCGACAGTAGATCAGATATTGCAAACCAGATATCAAAGGCGGATTTGGGAGAAAGATCCTGAAATTTCGGTTTCTCAATCCCAATATCACAGTCAGAGAGGATGACTGGGCGACCACCGATACAGGCATGCAACCTATCCAGGCCCCATAGGCACCAGAAAAGATTAAATAGAGAATCGCCGGGTGTCCGACCAGGTCGGTCCAAATGCAGGCCTACCGTTTGAGCTTGATGAATGGCCTGACAGAGGTGCATAGACGCCGCCTCTGCACCTTCGTAACCCTCGCAATGCAGAGACATAAGGGCCAAGATGCGGATACGACAAAGTCTATCAGATTCCAGCCCAACGTTCAAAGCGACAACCAAACCCTGATATAACTTAGAGCAGAATAAACGAGAGGAAATGAGAGGCCCATCATTGCTGAAGCGAAGGTGAGGACCAGCCGCCCTATCTTTAGCAGCGACAAGGCAAATGGCTCTCTCCAGGAAAACAGATGCAATGCTATCTGAGTTGGCCTGGGTTGAAGATGCCTGGTCGACAAGGGGTAGGATATGGTTGACCTTGCTGAAATAAATTGAGAACAGATGATGGCGGGTAGAATGGGGCAAACGGCGACAGGCATCCATGCCAGATGAATATTGTTGATTGAGCGCGGATGCGACAGATGGTAACTCTGGCCCATTTGGGGGACGGTGTCCGGTCCACTCATGGTCAGTATTAGGCACATGCTTCTTATGGCCATGAACTTCCGACGAGCTGATCCAGAGCCCGATTCGATCCCGCAGATGGCTTGCGTTGGCAGAGTCCAGTTTCTCCCGGATCACAGCTTCTGGATTTAGGTCTCCAACAAACCGTTCTGTTCGAGAGGTGCTTGAGGGCACGCCGCCTGGAATGCTAAGACTACCTGCTAGGGTCGTATCAACCGGTTGATCGCCAGTGATAGCAGTACTCTGTTGTTGCCGCTGTAGCGGTACATGGCTGCTGGCACCTGTCTGTGGGACGTAATTATGGCTTACGCCGTTCGCTGTGTCTAGATGGCGGCAGCGTTTCTTTTATTGATGAGATGAACTCGTCAGAATCTAGGCACCAATCCACCACAAAAGGGAAATAAGGGAGGAAACAGAAGAGACAAACACACATACCTTTCGTCGTTGGCAAGTAGCACATGCTCGCAACGCCCGCGTCCGGCGTCTAGATTGAGGGGTATCGGCGAGCCAAGTAAGCTCCATGGCTTTTTGTTTCATTAACCGACTCAAAAGTAATGACTCGCCATGCCAGATAATTACTTCTTACCCTCCAATGCGGTCTTGTTTCTCTGGGTAAGGGGCGTTTTGCGTAAGTCGACTAGTTCATGATAAAAACGGTACTCAAATGATTAACGAGTGAAACTAGTTGAGTAAGTGATTTGTGTCTGGCCATAAGGATATCTCCGGTTGGACTTGCACGTACCTTGGTTGCTAGGCAAGGAAAGCAATGGTCTAGATCTTCCAGGATTAGTTATTTGCTACTAGTCATTAGTTATGCTCTAAATTACGAGGTAAGTATTGGACAGCGCAAGAATACGCCGTGACGACGTCCCAAATCTTATCGGGCGGCGAATTGAATTTCCTCCCAAACGGACCTGTCATAGACGCCAATTAACGCGTGATTTCGCGCAACTGCGACGCGTTGCCGGCTAGTGCTCCGCTGCGGCTGGAAGGGTCTCTTGAGTATCCATTCTCATGCATTATCTCCTGAGAATTCGACCTATACGAAGGATATTGTCACCCAGGTGAGTCCATTGCATCTGTGAAGGGCTTAACCTGTCCTTCTTTTTCGCTTCTTCATCCTTTCTCTTTCCTGGTCTATTTTACCCTCACCTCATCTTTGAGAACTTTCAAGATCCCTTCCTAAATTCGTTTTCGCTACTTCATCCTCTGATTCGTCTCACTGCTTCTTCCCAATCGATTTCTCTGGCCCCATTTTCGCGAGATTGACTTTCTCACTATCACCTACGAAAGGCAACACACGATTGTCGGAAGCATGGCCGGTAGAGCAGGCATGAAACGTGATGCTAATCATTTGACGACACCAGAGGCCGATTCAAAGAAACCCAAGGCCAATGGAAGCATCACTTCATTCTTTGGTGCCCCCAAGAACAAGTCCAGCGACTCAAAGGCCACTTCGTCTTCATCGGGCTTTAATAAGCAGAAATGGGTCGACTCATTGACTTCAGAACAAAAGGAGCTCCTTCAACTTGAGATTGACACTCTTGATGAGAGCTGGCTGGCACAGCTCAAGGAGGAAGTCGTCAAGCCTGAGTTCCTGGCCCTGAAGCGCTTCCTCCAGAAGGAAAAGCAATCGGGAGCTAAAATCTTTCCTCCCGAAGAAGATATCTACTCATGGTAAATCCCCATTGTCTCCCATTTTGGCTCTACAATTATTATAGCAATTGGGACAGCTAATCTTGAATACTAGGTCCCGTCATACACCTCTCCACAAGGTGAAGGTGGTCATCGTCGGCCAAGATCCTTATCATAATTACAACCAGGCCCATGGCCTTGCATTCTCCGTCCGCCCTCCAACTCCTGCCCCGCCCTCCCTCGTCAACATCTTTAACGAAATTCATAATGACTATCCTTCTTTCCAAAGACCCGCAAACAAGGGTGGCCTTCTCATACCCTGGGCTGAGCGTGGTGTACTAATGCTCAACACTTGCTTGACCGTACGCGCGCATCAAGCCGCTAGCCATTCAAACAAGGGCTGGGAACTGTTCACGCAGAAAGCCATAGACTTAGTGGCCCGAGTACGGACGCGCGGTGTTGTTTTCCTTGCATGGGGAACACCCGCAGGGAAGCGCGTGACAGGCATCAATAGAGCAAAGCATTATGTTCTGCAATCGGTCCACCCAAGCCCGCTAAGTGCGTCAAGAGGATTCGTAAGTAGACCCTTGTTATCATCATTCATTGGCCATCTAATTTTGACGTTTGGTTGTTTTGTAGTTCGGAAACCAGCATTTCAAAAAATGTAATGAGTGGCTTGCTGAACGTTATGGTCCCGACGAAGTCATTGACTGGTCATTGACTTCGAAGAGCAAAACCAGCTCTCCTTTTGCCACCATTCAAAGCCCCGCTCTCACTGGTGCCCCGAATAAGCCTATCGCTAAAGAGTCAGATGCTAGTTTGGAGGAAGAGGTCTCCAGGACAACAGAGCCTGCCAAGTCTACCGAGGCCGTTGACGAGTTTGAAGACGATCTCGATGCGCTGGAAGCCCTAGCAGCAGCAGAAGCGACCAGATAGTTGCTAATACTGAGTACATTGTAAGAATTCCAGGTCTCTTTCCTTCATTGCCATCTCCATTTCCACCTTCTCATACCTTGAGGGGAGCTACTAGAGCAAAGTCGTGATCGAGATCAAGCCACCGTTCTTGCTCATGGATTACGGTATTATTCACCGCATCCGCTTGCTTAGACTGTGAATCGGTGATATGGTATGTGGCTTCGATGTTGGAAGGCTCATTGCTCACCCTTCGCTTGAATTTTGGGTCACGGTGTAGGGATTAAACTACTGTTACAGTCATTGAGGTATCAACCCAGCACTTTACTACAAGATGAGTAAGAAATAGTCCTTGGGCTCTCACACGGTAATGCTATTCTTGAACCTTTGTGGAGTACAGTTTCGGACAAGCCTGGGTATCATTCCATGGAACGAGGTAGACATGCGTGGAGCAAATTATATATTCATCACATTGTCTGCCCATATAGAAACTGGTCCAATTTAGCTAATTCAACCAACAACAGATTGGTCCAGAGATTACAAAAGTTAACAATAGAGAAACGAAGTTCCAAATAATTAGTGATTGATACGGCACAGCACTAAGCGGGATCTCAATTGGGAGACTGTTTACAGTTCGTCATGTTCTGCCTTCTCGTCATCTGTGGCAGCCGGGGTCTCGGCCTCCGTAGCGGAGGGAGCAGCCTCAGTCACGTCACCACCCTCCTGTGTTTCCTCAGAAGCGACATTGAGGGCGTCAACGTTGTGTTTGCCATTCTCCTTCACAAAGTTGGCAAGATCCTCGACAGTGCGCGAGCCAGAGTACTCAATGGGGGAGTCCTTGGCACCGGCCGGGTAGAGTCTGAGGGTAGGAAATCCAGTAATCGGGTCCGGAACATCGTTGGCCGTCGCATCGATCTTAGCGATGGTGACCTTAGCCGCCAAATCGGGGTGGTCAGCATAGAGAGCTGCGAGCTCATCGTACTTCGGAGCAAGACTATAGATTTGTCGTTAGTTGATTGTGCTCCAACACCTAGTGTACTTAGGGGATTGAAGAGACATACGCTTTGCAGTGTCCACACCAAGGTGCGTAGAATTCGAGCAAGACATCCTTGTCATTGTCAATGACGAGATCCTTGTAGGAATGGGCCACTACAACCGTGACGGGGCCCTCCTGAGATTCGGGAACAGGTTCCGACTTGATGCTAGGCTCAACCTTCCCATCCAGAACATCCTGGATGAACTTTTCAACCTCGTCGGCATTCAATTCTTTGGCCTGGTCATAGGGGTATTTGGCATTCTTTGCGGGATCCTGGATGGCGAATGCCGGGAACTTCTGAGAGTCTAGGTTGAGGTTTCCAGCGTGGGCACCGAACATCTTGGCGTCAATAGTAGCAATGTTGATAGCACCCTTGTGCTTCTGGGCAATAGGCTTGAAGTCTTCGGTGTACTTTTCGCGCTCCTCCTTGGTCTCGGCAAAGATATAGGCCAATGGGACTCCAGCCTATAAGAAAAGTGGTTAGCCAGTTCAGCCAGCAAATTGGTATCGAAACTCAAGCCGAAATGCAAAGAGATGTCACGTCGACGTATAGATTCAACTTACCCCAATATAGCCAGAGTAGGTCTCAGGGCCAATCTCGCCCACAAGGGGAGTACTAGCGGATTTCACCCAGCTGTGAATAGCCTCCTGTTCGATCTCGCCATCGTAAACAGCCTTCTTCTCATCGAAGTCCTTATAGAGCACGATGGAGGGCTGCTCGACACCTTCCGATTTCGCAATGGCGGCATCGTCCGTGGCAGCAAAGAGGTAGTTATCCCGCTGAGACTCAGCATATTTTTCGAATGCTTGATAAGTTTCCTGGTCGTCGGACGGGATATAACCGATCACGACAATCTTGTCCATGGTCTTGATCTCTTCTAAATTCTCCTCGTTCACGGAGGATACTGCAGGAAGTGACTGCTTAATCATGTAGGAAACGATTCTGGGAAACCGTCCAATGGGTCAGTAGCACATCACATACACGATAGCCTTTTGATGCATATCCATTTCTTTCGTCCAGTCAAAACCAAGAGGACTCACGATTCTGTTTGCCTAGCGCCCTGGTAAGGCTTGCTAGAGTCAACACCCCGAAAGATCTTGAGGGTAGGGTAGCCTTCAACGCCCTGACTCCGGCAGAGATCCTCCTCGGCGGTGCAGTCAACCTTCACCAGAGGGATATTCTTCGCCTTGAGCTCCGTAGCTGCTTCCTCATACTTTGGTGCGAGGGCTTTACAGTGGCCACACCAAGGAGCAAAGAATTCGGCAAGCACGAGACCGTGCTCGTTCATGAAGCTCTCAAATGTGTCCTGATCCAGTGAAATAACATCAGACTCGGTATCAGCAGCCGCAACCACCGCGGATGCTCCGAGAAGGCTAACGAGCCAAGGCGCGAAGGAGCGCATCTTGTAATAAAGAAGCAGCAGCGGAATAGAGGACGATGGGAGAGGGTATTTAAATGGATATCTGCTTTTCCAGTGGCTTCCGAAGATCCTCGAAAGTCAATGAAAACAAATAATAGACCGGCCCGTTTGGAGGGAGAGGGGTGGGGAGAGAGAGGAAGGCAGGTGACGCGTAGAGCAGAAGCTACCGAAAGAGAAAAGAGCGATGGGGCGAATGGGAAGGCAAGTAGTTCTTAAATAAATGGTAGTATCATAGGCTGATCCTTAACTAGCTAACCCACTACTCAGTAGCTATGGCGAGGCGATGAGGACAATCTGTTCTTTCTGCAGTCAGCTGGCCTGCTGAGCATTCTGACTGGCTCAACCGGACCCGCCCAGAACAGCAAGGGACCTTCATACCAAGGGTCTGGTAACCTATGCATACTTCACTTGGGAAGGGTAGTACCAGGTACCTAAACCGAAGCCTACTAGCTGGTCAGTCGATTGGTCGGTAGGGATGGTAGGCATAGATACTTAAGTACATGGGACGCCGGTATTACTAGTATCAATGATGATTAGTTATTATTGTGAGACCATAGCCTATCTCCCCTGGGAGCTACTTACCCACTTTTGTCTTAGTGGTACCGAGGTACCGCCCCTAGCACTTCGACCAAACTCGATCCCTTCAATTACTTAAGTAACGGTTTAGCTAGTTAACTAACTAGTTAGTGCAGTAGTTGCTAACTACTTGGTGTTCAGTCATTCCCCCCCTCCCTTCAAGGTTTCAACCTGCTCCTGCGGACCTTCCAGCTGGCCACATTCCATGACAAGGTCTCGAATTACACTCTTTTAGCCATTGTAATCAATCTACATGCGGCCCTGCTTACCCTGCTCCTCCACACCCGTTGTGTCTATTATGCTGAGTAATCTAAGTGCAAGTACCAGTGGACATCAGGTACGGTGCATGCCATCTATATAGATACTAAGCGCTACTAGAATAAGTAGTACATGTTCCCTAGCCTAGGGCAGAATCAACAGGGCCATTGTTCGGCCACACAAAGTAACACCCTCGGTAATCGCCACATCTACTCAGGAGAGTAGACCATGATTCTTAAATCAACCTTTACGCAACCATCACCGCCTCTACTCCGCTAGGTTCTCGCTATGAGACGGGCAATGAGTGACAGCTCCATAGACCGGCACCTCCTGTCTCGGTCTACCCTCAAGTTCTTTCGAAAGTGAAAGCGCGTCCCTCTTTCCACGCTCTACATCGACCAAGAGCATTAATGGTAAAGGGAGCAGAATCAGGACAGCAAGAAAGACGAAGGCGGGTCGGATTTCCCCGTAACGATCTGTGATGATTCCAACAATGGCAGGACCGAAAACACTGGAGCCTTTATCAGTGATGGCATATAAAGCATAGAATGCAGCCTCATATCCCGGAGGGATCAATTCTCCAAAGAAGCTCCGGCAGTATGAAGAAAGTCCACCCATAACAAGTCCATATATGACGCCCAATGGGTACATCTCCCATGGTTGTTGGAGGCCTAAGTACCCTAGGCTTTTGATTGCGGGAATGAAGCCTAAGAGACCATAGAGCGGCACAAGCTCGAATAGAATAATACAAGCAACTATCGTTTGTGAAGCCCGGAGATTGAATGTCCGCGACACAAAGCTCCAAGAGAATGCTCCAAAAACTCCTGCAATCATCGCAATGACATTAATCAGCCCCAAAGCGGCTGGCTGCATCCCCAATTGTGTCTTTGCAAACAGGACGGCGGTCCCGCTGACTGTCGCGATACCATCACTTAAGAGGAACCAAGCTGCCAGGAATAAAAGGATATCTCTCAGATGTCGAGTGCGCATTACTGTCCTGCCCAAGGACTTCCAAGCGTATGCCATATAACTAGTCCATGTCCCACTCTCTTTCCCATATGGAAGGGGCGGGCCGGGCCGGGCACGTAGCCACATTGCCGCAGGTATGGTGAAGGTGAACCACCAGAGCCCAATCAAAAAGAGGACTAGGCGCAACGAGAATGTTGTCTGGTGAGTTTCGACAACAACTAGGATGCAAATTGCTTGCAGTATAACTGCACCTATGTATCCGATGCCGATTCCGTTTGAGGATAACTTTGTGGAAAGCTTCAATTCCTGAGAAGTCTTCGAAGCAAACACTTGAGTTTCGTCACCCAGAGAGTACGCATTGCGGTTTTGTTCTGGCCGAAGCAGTGATGTTGTTTCAGTTCCGTCAGTTTGGCCCGGGCCATCGGCTGTAGAGGTCGAATCATGGCTGGTTCCGGTGGGTATATCCCCGTCACCATGTCCACCCATCAATATAGGATGATAGCGAACCAGCAGGGGTAGGAAAGAATTCAACAGTACAAAAGAAGCTCCGAAACATGTATTAGATATAATTGCGAACAGCCCACCGAGAAGATAGAGCCTTGGAACGACGGCAAGAAACAACATCGTAGAAACGGAGCCGATGAGTGCAAAGATAACCAACAGCATTTTGCGGTAGCTTCCGTGATCCGCAGCACCTGACATTGATATTATCAGGATGGCTTGTATGAATACACTCAATGAGAATGTGTACATAGCGAAGCTTGCAGTGTTTATTTCAACGCCGAGAATATAAATAATGCACTGGCTTGTTCTGGGTGAGCCTGGTTTCGTAAACGCAGTGGCATCAAAGATGGTGTTCCAGGTCCCTGATGGTGAGGTCGATTCTAGAGAGCTCCAAGTAGCACTGCACGGTGTTTTCTTATCCGAAAGAAGTACACCGCGTTCGCGAGCCATTTGCTCTAGGGTAATGGGGAGGAACGATCCTAAAATAGGTTAGGAGGTGTAAGAATCGTACTTCTCGGCCTGTGTAAGATATGCATACCCATAGCGCACACTGTAAAAACCTCGGCAGCCCAACCATAGCTGTACCATCCAGCGAGCTCCTTCTTAGATGTCGGCCTGGTGTCATCTCCAGGGAATTGTGGAGGTGGAGGACAGACGGAAGCGGCCTGGTCTTCCGGTGAATTGGTGCAATTCTGCATTATGGATTGCTCACATATCCAAGAATGAGGTATTAAGAATAGCTAGACCGAACACGCTTGTCTGTATAATATTGTCGAAGCTGGTTAACATATACACCGGATCAAGTAAATCGTACAAACGGGGGCTTTAATAGTATAATAGATAGATTCATAGGCATGCTATACACAGAATAACAGCTAAAAATGAATAATAAAGTGCTACTTACAACTAGGCTTGCTTTGCTGTGAGACAGAGACTGCAGGAACAATGTCGGCTGGATAATAGTATTAGTGCTATTGATGACGGTCAGGCTGGAAGCGAGTAACAGGCAGAGCTTGAAAAGGGGGAGACGTCAGAAATGCTACAAGAGGAGGACTTAATAATATTTTATGTCAAGGAATTGGTAGAGTTATAGTGGGCTACACTATATGAAGTAGGGTGATTGATAGCTTTCCGGTCCGACAACCGTAAGGCGCGGCTGGGAATGGAGGAAGCTTGGAGACCTGGGTCGAGTAGTACTTATCTACTTATCTAAAGCGCCAAGGAGCTCTCTCTAACCAGGTAACTTGCGGGTGGAGGCTTTGGAGAACCTAACCAATTCGGTCCTGGAATGCGGTGTGACTGTCTCAATACGGTAACAATATAGCCTGCCATTTAGTGTTTGCCTGAATACCTTATACGAAATAAAAGTAAGGTATTGTAAGCTTAGCCGGCCAGCAAATAAGGCACAAAGGCAACAAAACCTAGCTGCTGGCTGATCCCGTGCTCATGCATTTGCATCGCATCGCGCAGGCCTCATCTTTCGATCATCCACCAGTACTTTCACAGATTCTCAACGCTCCTGCAAGCATATTGGTATCCATCTCGCCACCTCCGATCCACAGTATCTACGCTTCACTCGCTCATCTTTCAAATGTCTTTTACACATCGTCTTTTCTTCTAAAAGGTTTATTCTGACATCACCTAGCTCCCCGCCTTCGGTATTCAATACCCTGCATATCACACCGCAGTCGCTTCTTCCAAATTAGCGTCGCATCTCTGTCCCATCGAGGCATATCCTAGAAGACATATTTTCAAGCTACTTTTGTGCACAGTCAAGCCCCCGCGCTAGGCCATTGCCTCGATCTGAGGATCCTCAAGAGCAACGAGTTACCCAACAGCTCGGTCTGAGTTCATTACATTAGTCGTCAACCGCCCCCTACGTTGAGCGCATAACGCGCTAATTACAGTTTCTCAATTGGATCGCTAACTATAAACCAACTGTTTGCCCTCTGGTTGAGAGAACATAAATGGCATTGCGTTGAAGCCCTCGGTCGACGAACCCACGCATAGTCAGCTTCCCTCCCTACCCCGGTGCCAGTTCCTTCAGTATCAGAAAGGCCCCAGATTGAGCCGCTCGTTCTGTGCTGTGCGAGGGGTAAAGGAGGGGAGGGATCAACTCAACGAGGAGCACGTTTATGCACGGAACATGCCGGGAGTCGTCATGGACAATGCCAACATTGGCGGACTAAGACACGGGCCAGGTAACACTTATCCTCAGGATGGACTGTCACACTCTCGGGGAGAAGTTGCTCAGTTCAACGGCGCCAACGCACAAGATGGTCCTGTTCATGTTAATGGCGTCGAAAAGAACGCCAGTCAATCTCGAAGCGTTGAGGCAATTCCCTCAAATCATGCATCAAGGGTAACCAAGGGACCGCCTGAATTGCCACATATTACACAAGGGTTTTTCCCTTTCGCGAAGTTGGTCAATAGGTCCGTACAGCAGTGCTGGAACGATCTATCTGACTTAATTACTGAAATGGCGGAGATGCAGGTGAATTCTCATGAATTTCACCCCTCGACAGCTCCAACTACCGGAAAGTCGCCCGGAAATCAGTCTCCTGGAAACATACGAAAGAAGCTTCGAATACTAGAATTTTCTCACGCTAAAAGAGCCGAATTCATAAAGTTGCTCGTCCTCTCTCAATGGAGCCGACAAGCGGCTGATGTTAGTA